GAAACCCAATCTCTTTTTTCTCTCCCCATGATGTGAACTAATTAAAGCTTCAGAAGGACCCACAACACACATTCACACACATAGACATTTACACTCTTGCACCTTCAGAGCTGGTTAGGAATAAATGTGCAGTAATAACAGCACAGCTCACATCTGTGCCTGCCTCTCCTTATGCCTGTTCACACTGCCTCATTGCATCCTTCAAGGAGATGGGTCCTGTTGTTCTTAAATGGGTCAGGGTCTGAATCACAAGTTGGAACCAGGATGTTTGCTCCAGACACTGGGTATCAAATTGCTGTTACTATTTATTCCACCTGTAGGCTTCTCTTACAAATTTCTAAGAGAATTAAAGGGAGAGTGCCTAGAATGCAGTTTGTTTTTCTGATCTTTGAAATGAGAATGCAGCTGACTGAAGCCTTTTTACAAGGTCTGATGAGAAAACAGGAAGAAAAGACCCGTCACCCTGAATGACAGCGTGCCATTGATAAATACTCCCTGGGCTATCCAGGGGACCAGCTGATTTTGATCTCTTAGGCAGCCACAAGCATCTGAGAGGTGGGGAGCCCTGAAGTGTAAGCCTTTGATGGAGTGGCCAGTGCCTGTGTGTGCTCCTCACCCCTCCCAGGGGAGGGCTGGACAGACTGGCTGTCAAAGAAAACCAAAGCTGGACAGCCATCTAAACCAAAAATATATACATTTTTAAAATTGCTTAGAGATAGGCTACCACTATGTTCCCAAGGCTGGTCTTGAACTCCAGGGTGATTCTTCCCACTTCAGCCTCCCAAGTGGCTGGTACTACCAGTGTGCACCACCATGTCCGACAGTAAAAATATATCTTACTCAGGAACTAATGCAATAGGAGAAAAGAAATCCCAGTATAGAACTGGACTCAATTCTGAATACAGCATGGGCAAATGGAAATTTATAGCCAAGGAGCAGAGTGGGGAATCAAGGGATAGGAAATTAACTCAGAGGAAACATCAAGACATCATCAGGGTAGATAGGAAATTAACAAGAAACATCAGGGGTTAAGGGAGATTCAGGCGAAACCAGCCTGACAGGATTCTTGCTGAAGGCAGGCCAGGGTTCTCAGACATCTCCTGGGGCATGGGGAGGACGAGGAATCTGATCAGGTAACAAGGATGGTCAGATAACAAGGGAGGAGGGGGAGGGGTTCTTGCTAAATTGACTTAGCAGGTTTCTTTCTAAAACTGGACTTTATAGAACTACCATTTAATCCAGCAATCCCACTCCTGGGTATTGACTCAGAGGAAAAGGGAAATCATTACATCAAAAAGATACCTGCACCTGTATGTTTATCACAGCACTATTCACAATAGCAAAGATATGGAATCAACCTAAGTGTCCACCAACAGATGACTGAAGAAAATGTGGCTTATATACAAAATAGAATACTGTGGTGTCATAAAGGAATAAAGTCGTGTCTTCCACAACAACATGGATGAAACTGGAGGCCATTATCTTAGTGAAACAAGGCAGTCGCAGAAAGACAAATACCACATGCTCTCACTTCTGAGTAGGCATAGAGTGTGGAATAATAGATGATGGAGACTCAAAAGAGTGAAGGAGTGGATGGTGAAAAATTATTGTAACAAGAAATTACTTAATGAGTACAATCTATGTGATTTGGGTGTTGGCGACCCTAAAAACCATGACTTTACTACACAACCTATGCATGTAACAAAATTATGCTTGTACCCCATTAATTTTTATAAAATAAAGAAAAAAATTAAAATGAAACTGGATTTTACAAGGAAGTGCACAGATGGGTCTGGGAGAAGGTTCAGGAGGCTGACTGCAGTTTGGTCAAGCGAAGAATCCTTGTCACCTCTCTTCAGTTGCTCTCGCCATCCCAGCCCTGTCTCAGGCCGAGGCATGGGGAGCCAGTGGGAGTTAGAAGTGTATGGCAATAGTAGGTGGTGTATTGAGGGTTTAGATGAATGAAGCTGAAGGGACCTTCTTTAGAATGGAAGAGGCTTCTGCAGACGTAGCTGTGGGTGGGTCCCAAAGCCTTTCGTAGCTCATCCTTTGCCCCACAGACAGTGTCCTCCACCATCAGTTCATGTATTATTTATACCTCACCTCCTCCTCCAAAAAGTATTGGAGGCATCCTACATGGAAAGACATTCATAGATAAAATGAAGGCTAAAAGGGCAAGCCAACTGCAGGCTCAGCTTCCCGTCTCCGCCACTTCTTAACCGTCTGGCAAATGGTCACGGGAATTGTCTTGCTCCAAAGTTGCTTTAATCCTAACACTTCTGCCATCACCACTGTGAAGCAAAACTTCTGGGAAGCCATTGTTTTGGACCAGCTTCCTGCACTAGACCCCAGGAGACAAGACCAAACCAGAATGGAGTTACTCATGGTAAGTGCCACATAATCAAACAAACTGCAAGGAAACAGATAGATCCCAAAACAGCACAGGTTTTCCTGAAAACAGGAGCTTCCAGTCTACCTGAGTGAGAATAATAAGCAAGTCCTCTCTGCGCTTTAACCCTTACCAAGAAAAGTAACCTGATGTTAGCCAATCTACTTTTCTTTGATTGCTCTGTTTGTGTGTTCCCACCTCACAGAGCCCACGGTTTTGCTACTGCCTGCTGGGACTCTCATTCTGTTTGTAGAATGGAGGCTGCTCTATTCATGAATCATGAATAAAATCCAATTCAATTAATAACTAAATTTGTTGCAATTTTCTCTTTTGATGTCACCCAACACAAAAGGCTTCGTGATGGGTTTTAAAACTCTCCATGCACAGGCTCCCGCTTCGCCGCTACACTCTGTCATCTCTGCAAGGCCACCGTTCCCTGCCCCAGGCAGATCCGGTTACGCCCTCCCCTCAGCCACTGACCTTTTAAGCAATCAGTCCACCAGTGAGGACTTGTTTTTCTCTGCCCCAACTCTTTCAGTCAATTCTTTCCCAGATTTATATTTTGTGAAGCTATCACAGGGTAGGTTCTCTGGAAATAGACTCTAAAATGCAAACTGCTGAGATGCAACTGTTGAGATATAAAACATTTCTTGGGTCCCACCCTGGAAGGAAGAAGGGGAAGGAGGCAGGCCTGTGCCAGGTGGAGATGGCACTTGTGGAGTAGGTTTGGTGAGCCTCGGTCAGCCTGCCGGAGAGCTCCGGGGTGAATGTGGCCTCTCAGAGGTGTGCTGCCTGGAGTTGACTGGGCTTTTTTACCTTCACTTTGTCTCAGATACAGGTTATCCTGAGAAGGGCATCACTAGAAAGGACTCTGCAGGTGAGGCACATCCTGAAGGAGCTGGCAGCTGGGGGCCACCTGTTGACTACGCTCTTCACAGCTGGGCAGCAAGTCCTTCTTTGAAAAGGGGATCTGGGCAGTGCATTTCTGTGTTCACTGCCCCAGGCTAATCCTATCAGATTAGCCCCAGCAATCCAGGGGCTCCAACAGTCATGTAGGTGGATGAATGTGCCATTTGCCCATGATGAATGGCCTTGTCCATCACACCCCTTATCTTGGACATCATGCGGCATTTGCTATCATTGATCCTGGTGGTCTCATCTGGCTGGTTCCCTAGAACAGAGCTTCCCACTCAGATACCCAGAAAGATGCAGGCCAAGAAATCTATCTTTTAAGTCCCCAGAGCAAGCAGAAGGATTCTGGACCAGTTGCCTCTCCAGTGTGTCCTATTGTGCAGAATAAATGTCATTTTCAAAACCTTCAGGGTGCACTGCTATAGAGCCACCTCTTCCTGGCCCTTCATTCAGTCACTGGCCGTATATTTACTGGACATCTATTATGCACCAGGCTCCAAGCTCACCATCGGAGATACAGTGGGGAACGGATCTTAAAAGGTCACTATCATTGAGACACTTACACCTAGTGGAGGAGAAAAATTGAACAAGTACACACAGAAATGGATGCATAATTAGCCGCAGTGATAATGCTGTATGAGATAGTAACACGGTGGGGCCAGGGGAGGAGGGATGGGGATAGATAAGGCCAGAAAGACAGGCAGGCATGGAACAGAGTTGACATCGTATTCTAAGCACACCAGAAAGCCACTGGGAGATTTTAAGCAAAGAAAATCCTGATTTGATTTATATTTTTACAAGAACACTCTTTGCAGTAAATGACTAGCAGGGCAGTGGCAGGGGTCTCAGGAAAGCCGGTAATTCAGTTTAGAGATGGTGTGCTCACCATGGGGAATCACAGTGGGCCACAGAGGAGAAGAGGGGGGTGGAAGGATTCAAAATCTATTTTCAAAAAAGAATGACACTGCCCCCTCCTGCCTTTAAGGAGCTTACACTGTTGGAAGGACAAACATGCAAACAATTTAATATAGCAAAATAGTTACTTTAGTAAAAAATATAGAAGACATGGATGGAGCAGAAAAGGGAGCCTGGAAGCCTTCCTGGAGGCCTCAAGATGCTCAGGGTTAAAACATATGTAGCATTTGCCTGGTGAGCTGACGGTGGATGGTGCTGCGGGCAGGTTTCACAGTGCGTGTGGCAGCCATGAGGATGTGCCTCACAGACTTCTGGCCACAGGGGTCTTAACTGACCAGAAGCCCCAGCTGCTGCGTCCATCCCAGTTGGTGGGCACCCCTTCCATTGTGTTGGTCACTGTGTTTAGAAATCTGTTTGTTGTGACTCCTTTCTCTCCAGATTTCAAGCTCCTGGAAGACAGTCTCTGTCTTATTTATTGTGGCAATAAATTAAATACTTAATGAAAAATAAAAACCTTCTCTAATAGCACCACTAAACAATGATTACTTTCCAGCCCTCCCCAGAGACTTCATATTGTGCAGCAAGCAATTTTGAAGGCCTGGCCTCCAGTTGTGGTCTCCCCACCCAGCGCATTGAGGGTAAGCCTCCATTCCCTCTTCTTGTGCCTTTCTCACTGGTCACTACGTACTGATCTGCATACTTAAGAGCTCTCCAAAGACTACTGAATAAGTGAACAAAAATAGGTTTAAATCAATATGCAATTGCTATTACTGGCTAATAGGATTTTATTCTTTTCCTGGATACAGGATGATGAAGTGACGTTGGCTCCTGTGGAAGGAGTTCACTGCCTACGATTTCCCCAGCATGTCTGCTGAAAACAGTCAGTCACCAGGAGCATCACCTCCTCGCCCTCCCCTATCTCCCCAGTGTTCCACACAGACTTTATCTTCAGAAAACGAGGATACTGAAGTAGAACTAGATGAGGAAAGTCTACAGGATGAATCTCCATTTTCTACAGAGGGAGAGTCTCTGGAGGACGAAGAGGATCTGGAGGAGGAGGAGGATCTTGAGGAGGAAGATTATCTGGGGAAGGAAGAAGACTTGAAGGAGGAAGAGTATCTGGGGAAGGAAGGGTGTCTGGAGGAGGAACAGGATCTGGAGGAGAAAGACTATCTGGGGAAAGAAGGGTATCCAGAAGAGGAAGAGGTTCTGGAGAAGGAAGAGAATCTGGAGGAGAAAGAGGCTCTGGAGGAAAAAGAGAATCTGGATGGAAAAGACAATTTGTATAAAAAGTATCTGAAAGAAGGTGAATATCTGGGGGAGGGAGAGCATCTCTGGGAGGAAAAGCATCTAAAAGGGAAAGAGGGTCTGGATAAGGAAGAGTATCTGGAAGGGGATGAGTATCTGGAGGAGGGCCTCCCAAAGGATGGCAGCTCTAGTTTACCACGATGCCCAGGAAAAAAGCACAAAGCTGAGAAAGATCCAGAGTGAAAATTGGCAACAACATGGTGCTGACAGGTAGGAAGATGCATTTACTGACCAAGTTCTGCTCACAACTATAATACAACAGCCTTGCCCCAAAGCACTGCGCCAACAAAGAGGCAGGAAGGCTTCATAAACATAAAGCACCTGTTTGTAGTAATAGTTATTCTTTGTACCTTTCCTTTTTCATGTTACATAAGTAATACATGTTCATTGCAGATGTTTTAAAAACTATATATAAGCAGGCCAGGCACAGTGGCTCACACCTGCAATTCCAGCAGTTTGGGAGGCCAAGGCGGGAGGATAGTGTAAAGCCAGAAGTTTGAGACCAGCCTGGGCAACATGGCGACACTTCATCTCTACAAAATATTTTAAAATTTAGTCGGGTGTGGTGGCGCATGCCTGTGGTCCCAGCTACTGAGGAGGCTGAGATGGGAGGAGGATCACTTGAGCCCAGGATTTTGAGTAGCCTGGGTGACAGAATGCTCATCTATAAAAAAGAGAAGAAAGAAAGAAGCTATATATAAGCAAAAAGAAGAAAGCAAAAATCACCACACTTGACTATCAGAGGTGATAATCACTTTCTACACTTTTGATTACATCTTCCCCAGATGTATATTACGTATACACACATACATGAATATATTTATATACACATACAGATACACATACACAAACATCCCTTTTATAAAAGGATCATGCTTTATGTCTGTAACCTGCTTTCAAAGATATATATTTATATGATTATAATTAAACACCATATACCGATATATCATTTAATACTGTACATGTTTAATGTTATTAAGCTTTCAAAAAATCATTTCGAGGATGGCATCACATTGTGTTGTATTGAGAAGCTATAATATTTTTCATCCATCTCTTAATGTTGACCATGTATTGCTTCCAATTTCTTGTTACTTTTTTTAAATGGCATTTTGGTGAACTGTTTTATCAGAGATCTCTACTTCCGGGAATACATGCCTACATTCTGTTGCTAGGTCAATAGACACTGGTATACACCTCAGGATACCCACTCTGCCCCCTTAAAGGAATCATTTCAGTCTGCGGTTAAGTATTTGACTTTGGAGTGATTTTTCTCACCCAAGGGCTAATGTTTTTCCAACACTGTTTCAGCAACTGGCAGCATTTCCTCATGTTGGGTTTTATTATTCGGCAGCAGCCTCCTTGTGCTGTTTGCTAGCAGTGACTCATGTGCATTTGCTCATATGCCCCTGTGGTGTCCTCTCTTGATGTCGTGACAGCACAGCCATTTTCAACTAGCACAGAAAGGTAAAGGTTCAGGTCACCCACCTCATCTTCATGTTGGCTTTTAAGTAGAACTAAACTATTTTCCTGGATCCAGTTCTGCTACCAACTGCAAGACAGCCTGAATTTTTAAATTCCTAAAAATCTGGTTACACACAACCTACATCCTAAAAGCTGGGTATTCTCTGCAGCCACACAGGCATTTTACCTTTACATCCCTCTTCATCAAATCAGATGTACCATCCTTGATTCCTACTCCTCTCCTGGAAATTTAGTTGTTGCATTGGAGAGGTAATTCCGCTATTGCTGGGAAACTCTCTTTTCTGTGTGCCTCTACCATTAAGCTCCCTCTTGGAATCCTAATATCCCTGCTGTTCAAGTATCAAATGTAATTCTAATACTGAAAAATAGCATTCAGGGCTTTTTCTCTTGCACCGTGTGAATCAAGCATTCTTAACATGTCCCCTCTATGTGCTGGATCTCTGTAAATATATTACCCACCAGAGCAGGACAAATACAGTGCTGTCAAGGGAATGGAACTGTGTATAAAGCAAACACTTTGAAAATAAATGTCCTGCTAACAAAAATTGGAGAGGCACTGAAAAACCACTAGGGAGATGCCGAAATGCCTTTCAAGACTCGTGGAAGAATATCTTGGTCTATGAAATTCTAGGATTTCAAGTCAGATTTTACAAAACAGGTTAAGAAGAAATTTCTTAATGTTTCAAAAAATATATCAAAATTTTTATGTATAACATTCTGGTAATACCCTTAAGATATAATTTTGTTTACCCCTGTGTTGAACCTCAATGAGTAGCAAGAGTGCCTTCCTGACCTAGCAGATGCTCAGTACATGTAAATTGAATCAAGTGATCATATTCACTTCCTAAAGCCAGTCACACTCATACATACATAGGTATACACACACTTATTTAAAGTTTATCCATTAATTGGCATCTATAAAATGAGCCCTAGATATGACAAATGGGCTTATCTCTCATGCTGATGCATTAACTACTAGAAGTTAGTAGTGGAAAACTACATTGAGAAGAATTCTGAGGCCTTGTCTGGACTCAGCAGCAAAGAGTGCTATGATCAACTAGTCATGTCTGCCACAGGAGCAGACAATGAAGTGGGTGCCTGAGTGCCATTTCTTTGTCTACTTAACAGCAGATGGGAGTCTGTCACAAGAGCACATTTTCCTTTCTCTCAGGAGCTTGACTACCTCTGTCTGAATGCCAGCTCCCTCTCTCTCACTAGTTGCATGAGCTTGGGCAAGTGACTTAACCTCTCCATGTCTTAGTTGTCTTTATTGTAAATAGGAACAGCACGAGATCTACCTCACAGGATATGTAGGAGGATTAAACGGGTTAAATTAGGTAAATCATTAAGTGACATGCCAAGCACATAGCATTTAAGGCCTAACCAAGTGTTAGCCATTATAAGTATCATGATATTACATGATGTATTACTATTCCCTTGCCATTGACTTGTGCCTGGCCACACACCCCTAGCCACATTACCTGCTTTGTGAAATGGACATACCAAAAGATAAAATATAATGAACCAGGCTATGGGAGGGATCTGTACCCTCCATTCATCTACCCTACAGGCCAGTCAACTTCAGGGATTCCCATAGCCCTCGACAAATCTGGTTACATCAGACTAACAACCCCCACCCACCTCTCTTCCTTAAAGGGTTGATTCCCCCAAGAGTTTATGGGGAAATCCAATAAAATTAGGTGAGCAACTTGAATATAAATGCAGCATCAACTGTCAGTGAATAATTTGTTAGTTACATCTGACTGGCCTGCTGTGGGAGTTCAGATTTTGGATGTATAACATGGGTGTGAGTGCTGTGGTGTCCAACCCAGAAAACCCAGCACATGGTGGGGCCTAGATTTGAGGATGTCTAGGTTTCAGTTTCCCCATGTTCAAAAACACCTTTTTCACAATTGCTCTCCTACTGCAATAGAACCTACTGTAGAGTGAAACCACCCAATAATGAGAACTCCTTTTAGTGTATTTTTTTAGTGCCCAAGACATTCCTAATAACAATTCTGCCCTGTGGCTATAGATAGGTCACAGTACATTGATTCATCATGTTTTTGCCTTTTCTTTTTTTTTTTTTAGACAGAGTCTCGCTCTCTCAGTCTGTCACCCATGCTGGAGTGCAGTGGCACAATCTCAGCTCACTGCAACCTCCACCTCCCAGGTTCAAGCAATTCTTCTGCCTCAGCCTCCTGAGTAGCTGGGATTCTAGGCACTTGCCACCATGCCTGGCTAATTTTTGTATTTTTAGTAGAGATGGAGTTTCACCATGTTGGCCAGGCTGGTCTCTTGGCCATGCTGGTCTCGAACTCCCAACCTCATGATCTGCCCACCTTGACCTCCCAAAGTGCTGGGATTACAGGCATAAGCCACAGCATCCAGCCTTGCCTAATCTTTTTATATACATAACGCATTGGATTTTATTTTCTTTACCCCACTAGCTACTCCGCAGCAGCTCGGAATGCTGTCTGACCTAAATGCTGTCATTCAGTTGCCATTTCCAGTTGAGAGTTGGTGTCCCAACTACCATTTCCAACAGGGAACCTAGCAATTCTTGAAATTTCAGAAGAAAGGTGCAAGAGATACTAACAAGGCAGAGATGAGAAAGCCAGCCAACTTTTCATGCAAGAAAGTTCACCTCTGTGACTTTGAGTCAGCCACTGGTGGGTTGGGGGATGCTGAGCCCCAGAGCCGGCTGCTTCTGCCTCCACCGTGCTCCCAACAAACAGCATCATTTTCTGCACGTGTCTTGTCCCAATGACCCTTAGGGAACATAGTCCAATGGCAAAGGGTGCATATTGTCTATTTCACTATCTCTATCTCCTTTCATTGTCCCAACCATTCTCTCCGTGCCCATTTCACAGATAAGCAACTTGGAGCTAGAGAGAGGGTATGTGACTACTCCGAAGTCACAGAAAAGCATTAGAAGGGCCAGGACAGGCTCCCAAACTTTCTCTTCCCTTCCAGTAGCTTCTCCTCCTTTCCTCCTCTCCTCTTTTCATGCTTTGTTTCTGCTTTTTCATAAGTTGTGTACCTATTTTAACTTTAGAAAAGTGACATCAAAAAAAACCAAAATCTCTTCTTGTTCCTTTCTTTAAAAAATGGAAAAGTTGAAAAGTAAAAAGTAGAAAGACGCCCCCCAACCTGCAAACATTCGCATATAAGTGAAGCTAATACACACGTAAGTGATCTGTATTCTGTCTTTCTGCGGCATTGTTTGCATTTTTGCTAGTGATGGCCCTTGTTGTGTGGTTTGGTTTTTACTGTTTTAAACATGTTGTTTATACAAGTTAGCTTTTTACTTTTGTAACCTAGTATGATAACTTCACCATTTGCCCATGTTGCTTAATTTTTACAGAGATCATTTTAATAGCCAAGGGATATTCCTCAATACTATTTTGTTGCATGGGTAAGCTATGGATAAGTGGAGTGTTCACCTTCCCTTCCCAATTTAAATGTTCTGGTTCTTGTTTCTCTATTACTTCTGCCCTTGCCATTTTGTATTATTAGAATTGGTGGTGTATTTTATCCCAAGCGTACAAGAAATTCTCGATGCCATATCATTCAAGGCAAACAATCAGGTGATTACATGACACAAGCAGTTCCTTTAAAATTAAAAATAATTCTTAAAATACATATATCCCTGCACCTCAGTCACCTCTGCTGTACAGATGCCCTTCGTCCTGGGACAGAGGGAGACTTCTGGGTAACCATAGAGATAAGCAAAGCAAACTCGAATTTCCAAAATCCATGATTGCCTGAAAAGTATCTTCTTGAGTTCTAATTTTACAAAATTTCAACCTAGTGATTTTTAAAGGGAACCATTAAGAGACAATACTAAAGTAAAAATAGAAAATTTCTATGACTGGGGCCCTCTCCACCCCAACCCTAGTGTCACGTACTTAACAACACATCTTTAAATAGAAAGATGCTTTTTTGCCAATATTTTTTTTGTTCTTTTTTCCAATAGAACCCAAGGCAAGTTGCTCGTCACACACCATGTTTCTTCGTGATACAAGGTAATAGTTTTCTTTTGGGATAAATCAGGTGGAAACTCCAGTGTTTCAGGAGCCCTTGGAGAACCCAAGACGGGGCGTGGCATGGAGTAGGGGAGGAAGGCGTTTAGCGGGGGCTTCCGGAAGTTACAACCCTGACTGCCTCTGCTGCTCAGTCACTCACTGTGCAGGGGTGGGTCCTAAGATCAGAGTCCTGGGTGCTCAGAACCACTAGAGATGAAAAAGGCAGAGGTCGTCTGAGTCTGGGGAAAGGTCTCAACCAGGAGAGACTGCAAAGGGCTCCCTGGCAGATGAATGATTTCCCCCAAGGGATGGCGCAGTTTGTCCAGAAAGAGAATAAGCTCAGGCATATTTTCAAGGCCTGAATTCTCATTCAGTGAATACTCATTAAAATCCTGTGGCAGGACTTGGCACGCGCTAGACGGTGGACAAAGCCTCTGTGGAATAAGTGAGCCTCTGTGGAATATGCTGGGCCTGCTACGTGCCAAGCTCTGGAAAACCACTGCAGGGTCACACCAGCCTTGTCCTTGGCTTTGTGTCTTATACGCTACAATTTCCCCCCAAAGGATGATTTCTCTCCACTGGTGAAGTGGGTTAAAACTAGATCTAAAAAAAAGCACAGGGCCAGTTTGGTTATGGCAAGAAGTAGGAATGAAATCCCAGTTTTGCCATGTAGGGAACCCATAAGTTACAACTTGTGGGCACAGGGCTCCCACATGGGCCTGCCCCTTCAGCTGGTGAGGCAGCCCCCACTCCAGCTCTGCACTGGCCACTCTGTTCCCCACTGCACACCTGCAGGGGCGCTGCAAGGCCTCTGACAGCTAACTACTGCAGGTGATGCGCAAACGGAATGGCTTTCCAAAGGCCCCTGTTCACCCCGAGCGCTGACACTCAAAGCAAGTGAAGCAACGTGGCCAGACACAGGGAAGGGGCCCAACAGTGATGTCACCACCTCACAGTTATTGAGAACAGGGGCTTTGGAGCCAGACTGTCTGGGTTTGAAACTCAGCTCCTCCACCCAAGCATCTACAAGGCAGCCACTTAATCTCCTGGTACCTCAGTCTCTTTATCCGTAATATGGGGAGAGGAAGAGTTCCAGCCTCATGGGGTTTGGGTCAGAATGACATGTGTATTTACTCAGAGGGAGGCTAAACAGTGGCCAGCAGACAGCATGCTCTCAGTAAGTGCCACAGATCTGTGCCATCCTCCGTTCTGCACCCCACAAACCACCGGGCAGAAAGCTTAGCATGCCTGGAACAAGAGTCAGGATTCCTGGTCAGCTTTATTCCAAACACTCGCACTCAGCCAATCCTCTGTATATTTTAGCTGAGGGGGGTTTCCAATGGGCTCCCAGGGCCCATGGAGAGCTGTGAGGATCAGAGAGGCCCTGGGGAGCCTTCCTGGTGTCCACACCAGGCTTGGGTCCCCCAAGGGCCATATCTGGGCCTCCAAGTTCTTAGAGAGGCCCAGGATATTCTTCACATAAGAAAGCTGAGAACCCAAACCTTCCACAGGCTCCTTTAAGCAAGAAGTGTTACATTCACACGTGCACGTGTGTGAGAAGCAAGGGTTGGGGAAGGATAGCAGGTACAGGGAAGCGTGTCATGCGTCCCTTATAAACAGAAAGGCTATCCGCCAGCCCAGGCCATGAGCAGCTCCCTCTCCCACTTCCCCACTTGCTGAAGGTCCTCCAGGCACACGCCCGGCCCTCCCCTTGCTAAAGCACTGCAGAAGCAGGCCTCAAGCGGTCCAACTCCCCAGGACCCAGGATCCAACAGCTCCTCCCTGTGGTGTCTCCATTGCAATGGAACATGGAGCTAGCATTCAGCCCAGGTGCCTGGAACCTGCTCTGCTTCCCGGGAGGTAAGCCCTGGCAGGAATCCCAGAAACGGTAGGAGAGAAATGTACATCATGGTGGAAATGACCAGAGAGGCTAATATTCTGAGATAACTCTCTAAGTTTGTTGGGCAGATTTGACTTTTCTTAGTCCTTTCATGAGGACTAGCATCATCTCTGTGGGTCCCTGTGGGCACCAGGTGAGTGAGATATGACAGGCATCATCTTGCTAGAAGGATAAAGGAACTGAGGCCCTGGAGAGACTCCTCACCTGGCCTTGGGGGCCTGCAGCAGGGCAAGAGTTAACACAGGCCTAAAGAACTCGCTTGCATCTGCCTGTTCTTCATCCCTTCGGGCACCTGACCTAGGACTCAAACATCTGGCCACTTGCCTGGGGCCCCTTCTTGATGTGTTCTGAGAACACAGCTGCTCTGCCCCAGCCTGCAGGGCTGGCACAGACCCAAGCTCCACTACTGGTCCCTCAGAGGCATGCACAAGATCTGCCTGTGACTCCTACAGACCCTGAAGGGAGACTTCCCAGGGCACCCAACTGTGAGAACAAGCAGCCTTCTGCTCCCTCCCTCCGCCTCTTTGCCTGAGCCCTTACCCAGACTCCAGCCCTTACCCCACCCCCTGCCCCTACACTGAATTCCCTGGTGCAGATGGGGACAGGCCAATCTTGCTTCCCCTGCAAGAGCAACAGCAAACAAGTAACTTACCTAAGCGCCTCTGCTGTGTTGCAAGAGCCAACACGTAAGCTCAGGTGTCAAGAGCTGACGCCAAAGTCTGTACCTTTTCTACCAACCATAGCCACCATCTATTTATATGTTGGGCATTTTCCTTATGCCCATCTCTGCCAACTGGACCAGTTGACATGAAATAACACCAGGGCCAAAACACCCCAAAGACCTGTCTCATTCATTTGAATTACAGTTTCTTGCCCCTGGTTAAAAGTCAGAGACTCCTCATAAAGAAAATAGAGTGTGTTGATGTCTCAGGGTCACCCCTCTTGATCCTAAGCTGCCAGGTAGTGGGGCCTGCACCTCGCACCCAGTGCCCTCCACCAGGCCCTTTGGAAAGACTTCTTAATGGTGGTGGTGCTTGTGGGGAACCCACTGCAGCAACAGACGTCAGTGCTTGATTTTAAACTGCTGCGGCATCTCATTCAGTATCTTTTCCACTCTGCCCAAAACAACTCTGAGGCAGGGAGAGCCACTAGAATAAGCAGGGTTGTGTGCTGGGAAGGAAGGAGAACCTTCTGGAATGCCTGTCAGTTATGATCGCCTGGCCCAGTGGCCTTTGAAGGCACCCACAGATCTTCTCATGGTGTAGTGAAGCAGCAGTGGCAGTGTGTGTGGCTCTGCTGCCCAGAGTGACGACACACCGGCCTATTATTCATGATTCACAGCTTGTCTCTTCAAACCTCGAGATGTCCACCGTCTGGGTCTGGACGTCAACCCCCTGCGTGCCTTAGAAGGGATTCCTGACCTGGCCCTTGTCTGGAAGTTGACCTTCCTGTTTTCCCCTCCGACAGGAGCCCAGACGCTGGCCCCTCTCAGGTGACCACCTTCCTGCGTGTCCCGATGGCTTTTACTGCTCCTTCTCCCATCTCCGGATCTGCCATGGCATCTTCTGAGTCGCTACATACACTGTACAGGAGGAGCCAGGCCAGTCAGACAGACTGGCACTATGACGGGACTGCCGGTGAGGGGAGCTGTGCCCTGTCGGCGGCTCTGCGGGCTGGGGAGGACGGCTCTGGCAGCGTTTTGTGCGTGTGAAATATTGTGGCGAGTATCGTCTCTCATGCTAATGATACCCTACTATTTCCATTGCCCTCTGAGGTCTTGTTTTGGATAAGATGTTAAGTCCTCTCCGAGCCTTGCTTCCTGCTTCCTCCCATCCCAGACCTCCCTCAGAGAAAGAGCATCAGCAAAGTGCTGAGGCAAACAGCTTCTCCCATTTTCCGTCTCCGCCCCTGTTTTTCGTTCGTCTTCCTAGTCTTGTTCTATATGAGCACAGGCACAATTTCCCTCAGGGACACAGGCCATTTTATTCCCAGATTACACACTGGCTCCCTGGGGTGACAGGCCATATCCAGATAATCACGTGGAAAATGGAAAATGGGTCATGGGCCCACCTCAGACAGTCTCAGCATGGGGTCGAAGCCAGCCCTGATTCAGGACCCACCAATACTATCCATGTAGTGAACCTTCGTGCCTACAGCTAAGACACACAGGAGACAGTCTGGCAAAATTGCATTAAGGGACTTCATTCTCTACCCAGTTAAGCCCCCAAATCCTCACTCTGGCAGCCTGGGGGTGGCAGACTGGTTAGCATTTCTTGCCATCATTAATGATTTAAATTCAGCTTTAGTGGGATTGACCCATCCCCGATTCACAGATTTATTTCACATCTGTAGTCATGGCAGCAGTAAATTAGATTCCCCCGTCAGCTCACCTCTCTGCCCTTCTCCATGGCTGCTAAATTTTGTAGCACAAATGTGGTTAAATGGAATTAGGAGCCAGAAACCCCATAAGGGAGAAGGGAGAGGCAGAGGACAGGTACACACCGCCAGCACGTGCCGAGGAGTGTTTCACAGGCCACATCGGTTCACTGGGGACTTTTTTCAGCATGTGTGCTCCCACGGAGCCCCACAAACCAGAATCATCTCAAAGTCAGCAAGCATGACCACTGAGAAAATCTGAGGATTTATCAAATATTCATAAGAAGGATTCTGAAAGTCATTTACTGGGTAATTGCCAGTCAAGTGCCAGTGCTAAGCTTGAAAGGATGTGGGGGAGGAGAAAAGCAGCGGGAAAGGCTGGAGCACGCGGCAGAGGGGACTGCAGCCTGTTCGCGCCACGTGGACCCAGCCCAAATCATGGGTTCATTTGCCCTTCGTTACCTTTATTAATATAGCTAATTATGTCTGTATCCTTGAGGTTGGAAGTACCGTGTATATTTGCTCTGCATGGGCACATTTTGCAGCTATGTCTCTTTCCAATACGGAGTTCCTTAAAGCCAACATTATTGAGTGTTTAGTAAAAGTCTGACCACCCACAGGAAACGTCCACTGATCAAATATTGTGACATTGGTGGCCTGCGCCAAAGATATGGACTGTGTTGGAGGCTCCAAGCCAGGCTCGGTGACACCCCAGGTTCCTGCAGTTACTTGGGGTGGGGGGGGGGTGGTCATTATCACAAAGACTGAAACACAATTCCCTAAAAATTTATGGAGGTTTTTCTTTCCCCTTCTAACTATAGTTTCCAATCTATCTTTCTGGAGAGCATTGGTGGCAACAGGTATATGACTGTGTCCAGCCAATGGAATGGCACAAGTGTGACAAACAGGGACAAAGAAAGGGTAGATTTAGCAGCTCCTGGGCTCTGGGTCATCATGAAATGTCGTAAGTATGTTTATGAGCTAGACAGCCAGTCAGCGACCAAGAAAGCCACAGAAAGGTCCGCCTCCAATGGCAGCCTTCTAGGGTCAGAGGAGTCCAGGTCCTGTGAGCCCCCATGCTTTCTGCCAAGCCATCCTGTGAACGACTTTGAAATGCTCCAGTTCTCACTCCAAACAAGCACATACTCTGGTGCAAGTCCCAAATGAACCAGGAAGCACTGAGGAGTGTCCACCTTCCCATGCTTGGTATAAAACCCAGGCTGGCCACATGCCTGAGGAGCGTGACAAAGAGGAACCAGGAAGCGTGAAACTCCAGGAACGTAGGGAAGTGCAAAACCAAGTCAAGAGGTGGAGGAAAGGGACGCAGGAAGACCATCCATGCAGGAGCGGAAACGGCCTTCCTGCAGGTGAGGTACACATTACTAAGGATTCCCAAGTGTGGCAGATGCAGACAAGCAAAGCTTTCAGCCCAGAGAAGAAGTTGCTCAGCTACTTGGAAAGCACAGGCGGCCGTGGCAAACATGACCCAAAGAGCTAGGCACATGGAGCTAAGGCCGGCAGGAGCCAGCAAAGAGGTGGCCAGGTGTGGGCACTGCTGCTCCAGGAGGCCCAAAACGGGGTGTCCCTGTCACCAGGCACTTTGTGAAGATGTGACTTTCCAGCCCTTATCAGAATCCCTGCCTGAAACAGCCTGGAATCTGCATTCTTAACCAGATCCCCAGAGGATGCTCAAGTACACGAACGACGACAAACCGGAGGACCTCTAGTGAAAGATGAATTGGTTTCCAGGCTTCTGCTTCTAAAGTATCATTCTATTATGGGATTGTTCAACCACAGTGAGTCAAAAACGGTGTTCCACCTGGCACAGCCTTTCTCGACAAATAGGACTTTGGCCAAATATGGAGGAAAAATACCCAGATAAATCCTTGAGACTTGTGACTCCAGAGGGTGGCAGGACTGACATGGAAAGGTTGCAACAGGCACAGGAAATGCCTCGTGATCTGTATGAGGAGACACTCGGGAGGACCGGAAACACTAGCTATGGCCTCATGTGTCTCTCTGTCCAGGCACAGAGCAGAATCATAAACCAAGTCAGCCAGAAATTCTAACACAGAGCATGGTATCCATGCTCACAGAAATCCTTGACTTAGTGCCTGGCACACAGTAAGCACCCATGAATATTTATTAAATTCTTGTAAAATTGTTGGTGAGCCCTCATCTGATTCAAGGTCAGATCATGGTAGTAAAAGGGTATATCCTGCTATTAAAAAAAATAGTAGGAAAGGAGCCCTATAGATAGAAATATGTACAGAGACACTGTGTGTGTAGAAACGTGAGTGAGGGTACGCAGAGGTGTAAGCAGAGGTCAGACGGTGTATTAGTCTGTTTTCTCACTGCTGATAAAAACATACCCGAGACGGGGTAATTTATAAAGAAAAAGAAGTTTAATGGGCTCACAGTTCCACGTGGCTGGGGCGGCCTCACAATCATGGTGGAAGGCAAAAGGCACGTCTTACATGGCAGCAGGCAAGAGGGAGAACTGAGAACCAAAGGAAAGAAGTTTCCCTTATAAAACCATCAGATCCCGTGAGACTTATTCACCACCACAAGAACAGTAGGGGGGAAACTGTCCCCATGATTCAGTTATCTCCCACCAGGTCCCTCCTATAACACATGGAAATTATGTGAGCTACAATTCAAGATGAGATTTGGGTGGCGACACGGCCAAACCATATCAGATGGGGAAGAGGATTAAAAGCTCTAAAAAGTGCAAACTGGTGTTTCCTTCCGTGGACTCAGATTTTGAAAGATCACATGCAGAGGTTAAAAAGATGAGGATGTGGGCCGGGCACGGTGGCTCAAGCCTGTAATCCCAGCACTGTGGGAGGCCGAGGCGGGTGGATCATGAGGTCAAGAGATCGAGACCATCCTGGTCAACATGGTGAAACCCCGTCTCTACTAAAAATACAAAAAATTAGCTGGGCATAGTGGCGCGTGCCTGTAATCCCAGCGACTCAGGAGGCTGAGGCAGGAGAATTGCCTGAACCCGGGAGGTGGAGGTTGCGGTGAGCCAAGATCGCGCCATTGCACTCCAGCCTGGGTAACAAGAGCGAAACTCCGTCTCAAAAAAAAAAAAGATGAGGATGTTCTCAACAGTAAATATAGGAAAATGGCTATGAACTTTAAGAATAGTGTCAGGAAAGCTAAATCAATCCTGGGATTAAACATTCTTATCAAAACATAATAATAATAATGATAGTGATCATACAGGCAGCAACAAAAGACAGAGGCCCATTTAAAATATAATTGAGCCAAAAAGATCAAGACAGGCTAGTGCTGTTTAGTGCCGTGTTGGTGAACGATTCAGGGAAGAGTCAAGTTCTGCAGTTGTTATTTAATTTTGACTTCACTGTGAAAGAAAATTATCCTCAAACTGAAAGGCGTGCAACAAAATTAGGTGAGAAAGAGCAGGAAGTAAAGATTGGTGAAAAGAAGTCAAAAGAGAATGGCAACTGCTGGAGAAAATATACTCCAGAACGTGTACATAGTGAGAGAATCCTGCTTTTGGTCTTTGAGGAATTGTGGGAAGTTGGTGAAATTAGTCTGTGACCAATCTGGGGCAAATATGGAGAGCAAAATCACCACAAGAAACCAGCCTAAGATCAATATAAGCCAATCGCAATACTGGCTTTTAGGTCACATTTTGACAAGGTTATTAGATCAGGGAACTGTGGAAACCCCACAGGGTGAAATTCCACAAGACATTTTATTTCCAAAGGCTTCCTGATGTTCCTGGACAAGATAGAGATATATTAGCTGGGTGCTACTGTAAGACGATGTCATCAGTCACAACTGATTGAACAGCACCCCAAGATGCTGTTTCATAGATCAGAGTCAACCTGGTTTCCAGCAGAGAGCCGTGGGGCTCTGTGCAGTACATTTTTTATAACAGGCTTAGATGCAGATTTAGAAGGAATATTTATATTTGTAGATTCCCTGAAGCTGTTGAATAATGAGGATAACATAATCAGATTCTAAAAGATTTTGGCAGGCAGAAACTTCGGACCAGAATTAGCTGGATAAAAGATATTGGTCATTGACATTAGATCTTGCTATCAGGCCCCCAGTAACAGCAGGCTGGAGAAGTGCAGAGTGATGAAGCCCTGTTTGCTGTTAGATGTTTCCTTCAACCACAAGTTCAGTAAGTCAATAGTATAACTGATGTCACTGCCGGAAAAGTTAACATAACCAGATGCAACTGAAGGGTTATGTAAAGAGGATTTCATCCTGCTCTGCCCTGCATTGGGGAGCCATCCCTAGAATGGCACGTTCAGTTTGGGGGATACCACACTCTGAGAACCAGAATCAGCTTGTTGGGAGCTCGGCAGAAGGGCTGGTGTTCTGGAGACTACGGCATACAAAGAGCTGCGGAAGCAAAGGAGGAGGTTAAGTCTGGAAGGCACATGACTCCGAGATGTAAAAACTGACTTTAAATATTTGACAATCGGCCACACAAAACCAAGACCTGGGTCTTAGACTCCAGATTGAAGGGCTAGAATAGGACACTAATGCAATCCAAGGGAAATATTTTAAGAAAGAAAATTATTCCCTACAGTCAGAACTATGCCATGGAACAGTGAGTTTTCTTGAAATTGGAGAGCTTCTTGTCTGTAGAAGTGCCAGCCTCTTGCTGAAGGACTAATAAGCACTGATATGGCAAGTGTTCAAAGTCCTCTCAATGCCGCAGGCCACACACAAGTTTTGGTTTTGTATCCTGTCCATCTTGAGTTTAGGACACTCCCATAAGCTAACGGAGCAGTTTACTTGGCTTTTTCATCATGGGCCTATTAGTCCCCACTATTAAGAATGGAATGGGCCAGACACAGTGGCTCACACCTATAATCCCAGCACTTTGAGAGGCCGAGGTGGGCAGATCACCTGAGATCAGGAGTTCGAGACCAGCCTGGCCAACATGTCAAAACCCCATCTCTACTAAAAATACAAAACTTAGCTGGGCATGGTGGCGCACACTTGTAGTCCCAGCTACTTGAGAGGCTAAGGGGGAGAATGACTTGAACCTGGGATGTGGAGGTTGCAGTGAGCTGAGATTGCACTACTGCACTCCAGCCTGGGCAACAGAGTAAGACTCTGCCTCAAACAAAAAAAAAGAATGGAATGTAGAGCATGTATGTGTGTATGTCTGTGTGTGTGTGTACACACACATGTGCACATGGGTTTAGTATTTAGGAGTAGGAAGACAAACACCAGGAAGTAAAAGAGGCAGAAACGAACACGGATCATAAAGTTCCAAAGACAGAAAACAAGGGCAATCAAGAACTTACAAAAGTCCTAAATATATATATATACATACACACACACACACACACACACACACACACACACACACACACAATAGCTTCCCACTGCAAATCTCAGCAGATTTACTCTAGACAGTCCCCATTACACACTTCTTGGCAACGAACAGACATGCTACTAGTACAGTGACAGGTACATGCATGGTGTGTCTACATGGCCTTGGAGCCACTTGGCTCTATGGTTCCCATCGCAGGAGGGGTACCTCTAAAATCTTCCTCCCACCTTGCCTCAGCCCTTCCATCTATCCTGAGGACCCAAACTAGCCTTATGGTAACCAGAGGAGAAGGCCACAACAAGGTTACATTTTCTGACCTCTAATTTATTGCAATCCTAGAGTGATTTACCAAGGCCAAAGGGGGTGGGGTGCAGGGGGGCATCTATATGTGCTGGCTGTGCCTGTCAGGCCTCAGATCCCCCCCCCCCGACTGTTGACCAGCCTTGGGTGCCAAGAAAGAACCTGAGACCCCAAATTCCCAGTCTGAACCCACTGGAAAATGTAATGTTTCTGTCACTAATGGCCACTCTCTTCTGCCTTTTAACAGTAAAATCTTTAAAATCAAAATCAACAACAGAGCAAGAAACCACCAAGAAGCCTGCTTTGAAAGGTAAAGTTTATGATGATTTTAAATGATGTGTAGAAGTGAGTCGTCCATCCTGGAGAAGGTAAGAAGTACAGAATTAGCCTGCCTCCAGCCAAGGAGAGCGTGCTGTTGGCCGTTTTAGAATGGAGCAGGGTTAATGGAGGCCAATGACCAAGGCATTATTTCTGGAATTTAATGTCTAGGCTCCAGGCTCAGGTAAGACACTGAGCCAGAGGGTAAAGCACTGTAGCGTTCTGAAAGGAGAGGAAACAATATTTATCACTGCAATTAGGAGGGAAGATAATAGTGTTACCCATACTTAGTTAATGCAATGACATTTACTATATCCTTACTGTATATATGGATATGCCCTCAGGTCAAGTACACACAGCTCATTTATCCCAAATTCAAGAATGATGGCTCTGTCAAGAAAAATACTAAGAGGCTGGGTGCAGTGGCTCATGCCTATAATCCAAGCACTTTGGGAGGCCACAAAGGGAGAATCACTTGAGGCCAAGAGTTTGAGACTAGCCTGAGCAATATAGCAAGACCTCATCTTTACAAAAAATTTAAAAAATTAATCAGGCATGGTGGTGTGTGCCTGTAGTCCCAGCTACTCAGGAGACTGAGGTGGGAAGATCACTTGAGCCTAGGCATTCCCGGTCACAGTAAGCCATGAGCACAACACTGCAATTCAGCCTGGGCTACCGAGAGAGACCCTGTCCTTAAATTTTTTTTTTAAATAAAAAAGAAAAATGTTAGAAGAGAGGCACTTGAATAGGGATAATTAAGATTTGTTCTTAACCAGACCAGGGAAGACATGCTTCACCTGGGGAACGGAGTGTGCTGGCGTTGACCTACATCAGCACCTGCATTAGCCCCTCTGAGCCACCCTCAAGTTGTGTCTTATTGTCCCATTGCACATATAAGGAGCTGGGGTGCAAGGGGGACATGCTGGAAGTGGCCCAGGTTCCGGATGACAGGGCCGCCACTCGAACTTGGCCTGACACTCCCCCCTGGCCCTTCCCATCCTCCAGTGGAGTGACTTCAGGAGAAGATAATGATCTCACTAGAACAGAGGTAGAGGTTGACAGATGTCCCCAAAGGGAAAGTTAATTAGAAATAAGGCTTTTCCTTCTCATTCAGCCCCAGTTACAGCTATGATACCGCTTATTTACACCTGACATGTTGACAGTGCCCAGCAATGTTAATAAGCTTAATTACTATGTTGAATTGAATGTTCCTGGGCACCCTTGTTGAGTATTCAGTGCTGCCAAGTTCACCTTCTTCCCAAGATAAACACCTCCTTTTTTTACCACCTCAAATTAACTATGTATTATTCAAAAAACAGACTACTGAAATATGGCAAATGCAAGGGATGGGGAGTTGCTGAGCTACCAGGGGGCACAGCCGTCCTCTTCTCCATCCCGGGCAGGCACATTTGAGGCAGGCTCAGAGCATCTTACACGACAGCCTTCTCCTTGGTCTCCCAGGCCCCTTTTCTACCATTCATTCATTTCTCCTCTCTAATGACACCCACAAGGAGCTTCCCCAGTGCTTGCTTGAATTTCCAAGGATTCTTGCTAGGTTTTCCTGAATGGTTTTTTAAAACCTCCTTGGTCATTTCCACAGCAGACAGTTTGGGAACACATAGTGTTTTTAGAATCAAGCTGAGCATGCCCTTGCCTTTGCCCTGTTGTGGGTACCCCAGTGGCAGTGGCATTGTGGGCACCTGTGGGAAGTGATGAAAAAGAATTGCCAGGGAATTCTAGAAGCATGGGGCCCACCACATCATGGCAAGTCTGTCAGGCACACGCCAAGGCAGCAGAAGAAGGTTTGAAAGCAGAGAGGCCCCAGGCCTGTGTGGGTAAAGGCAGCCCCAGCTCAGTAAAATTCTCCATCCCAGGAGGAGCCCGAATGAGTCAGAGTTTTTGCTACGGAGGCAAAATTGGGAAGAAGAACAAAAGTAATGTGTAGAGATTACAAAGAACATCTCATCTCTGTCCCCAAAGGCATAATAAGGACACAAAATCAAACAGGATGTCAGTCCAGGGTCAGCGTGGTAGGGTTCCCAGGCTCTCCAGAGGGGCCAGCTGGGAAGGGCTGGTGTCATCCAGAAGCTGAGACAATTGTCCACCATCTTTTTCCAGGGAGCCCAATTATCACTCCAGAGCCACTTCCTCTGAGCTCTTCTCTCAGAATCCACACCTTCCCAGGTATATGGGAGAGAACCAAGTTGTACTGATCAATTCCACAATTCAGTTTGCACCCAGACTCCCCAGAGGCTCTAAGCCACTCTCCTGGCCCGGAGAGCCACCAGACTGCGGCTGACCTTTGGAAACAGGGACATTCACTGTCTCTGGAAGACATTCTCCATCCAGCTCACTGGCTTGGGGATTCATCTCTTATGCTCCGATTAGTACTTATGAATCATATGCAATTCTAGAAATTGGCAAATTTTGACAAGCCTGGTGGAAGACAGATATGTTTCTTGAAATTTCCAAGTGAAAATCACACTCGGAATAAGTCTCCCTCAGAAGAAAATCTAAAGTCCTTCCCATGACCTACAAGGTCCTTTGAAAGCTGGCCCTAGCCCACCACCTGCTCACCTATTCCTCCCTCCCCCAGTCACCCCCGACTCCTCTCTGACCTCCCCTCAGGCTGTGCAACTTCATGTCTGCTCTACTGCGGGCATATCATACAGTTCCCCCTGCTGTGCGTCAAGCGTGCCCCTCCCACACTAACCACAGGGACTTTGCACCTCCTAGTCCTCTGCCGGAATACATGGGAATGCTCATCCATGGCCTTCTGCCTGCACACTCCCTTACTTCACCTGGTACTCATTCAAAGACCACTTTGTCAGACTGACCCTCACCAGCCACCAGGAACACACACTCGCCTTCTTAAGTCAGCCACTGAAACGAACCCTCTTATTCCTATTAGTTACCCCCAAGCTGAATTTTAGGTCCTATGATTAACCTATTTAACATCTCATTGATGATGTTTGCATTTTTTTTGGAAGGGCAAGGCTAAATACTGTCAATCTATTTCTATTTTTTTTTAATTTTTTATACTTTTGATTTTCTTTCCACATGCCCTTCCTTTCGACACGCCTTCCAAAATTGAAAGTCATGGAGTATGCTTCTACGGAGGACTTTTGGGATGGTATATCAGATAAGTCCATTGACAAGCTAGAAGTGGAGGACTTAGATGAAAATGTAAGTTGGATAAAAACCTGAGACCCTCCTTCCTCCAAATGTTGGAGCAGGGTGGCCCTAGCCCAGGCAGGATGGCTGAGGGCTTGGGATCTGAGGACCTGGGTTTTCTTTTTGCCTCATATACCCCAGACTGGGTGTTAGAGAAGACAGCAACCCAGAAACTCCAACACATACAGACAGAAAAGCCCCAAGGAAAGCCTCCTCCCTCTATGGAGGTGGGGCAACCTGGCAAGGCAGACAACGCCAGACGCTAACCTCTCTACTCCAGGTAGACACAACAAATTGTGGTGTTTCTCTCCCATCTTCACCGGCCTGTGACAACCACCACCCTGCAGAGGGACACACAGCCAGACCTGGACATTCAACAGGGCACTCTCCCCAGCTGTTCCCAATCACCAGAGAGGAGCTAGGGAGTCATGATGGTTTTGATAAGCCTTACATCCACCGGATGTTTTCTTGTCTTTAAAACAAAATTTTTGTTATGATTTTGTAAATATGCCACACGAATGTTTTGCCTGCAGGGGCAGCCTAGTGGCTCGAATTTCCTGCATCAATTTACCTGTAGGGCTTACACCCCATGCTAAGTCGGGGGGAAGCATTATTGTTCATCCTGTCCTTGACTGCTCACATTGTACATACTGGCTACAATCGTAAGAGTGCAATCTTGTGTCTCTGGAACCCAAAATTAAGCAGATATATTTTCCTAAATTTATAAAAGAAAAGGCGAAAAAACTAGATATTTCATTTTTTAATGTTTTTAATTGAGAAATTGTCTCGTCTCAGTTCATATTTAGCCCTAAATTCTATACTTGTCTCTACACAGCACTGTATTACTAAGATTTACTTTTTGAATACTAAAATACTACAATGAAGGGAGGAAAAAATGACAAATTTAGATTTACTGCTTTGGATTTACAAAGGCAGGAAAGTAAAATTGGGCATTTTGGAAAAATTTTTCAACTAGAGCTGAAACCTAAAGGGTTTGTTTTAATTAGACATAAATTATTCAGAAAACTTCAAGGCTCCTGTCCGTTGATGTTTTGCTATATCAGGTGGCACTGCATTCTCAGGTGACAGTCACATCCTCCATGTAGGTTCTGGAAGGACATGGCAGGTTTGGGAGCGTTCCAGAGTTTTCCTTGGGACAGGTGGGCTGAGTAAGGGAGGTGTCATCACAAGCACCTTGCCATTTCAGGGCTTTGCTACTGAAGGATTTTAGGCAAGAATGTGACACTATCAGACTTGTTTTTAATTTTTTCAAGTATTTTGATTCAAACAACCTAAACTATCTAGCTTTTACATTAGGAAGCTACCATGTGCACACCATTTTAAAATATTGTAGTAGTAAAGAAGGCTATGAAATAAATGTTTCAAGCCTCTACTTTCGTACGTTAGTGAAATAACTGCTATTTATGTATCCTGGAAATGTTAACGCATATACACATATATATGTCTTTTAAAACATGTGCATATCCGCAAATGGAATCATGATGTACATTCTGTTCTATAACTTACTTTTCCCTTAATAACATATTTTGGAAAGCTTGGGTATTATATATATATATATTATATATATATATATATATAAATTTTAAATATATTATTATATATATATTTATATATGATATATATATTTTATATATATATTTATATATATATGATATATATGTATCATATATATATATTTATTTTCAGTGCAATGAATTGTATGTATACTATTACATACAAATGCAAATGAATCTAAAGAATAAATTCCTAGCAGTTGATGCTGGGCCCAGAGCTACCTTCATCTTTAACTTAAAAAACATTGACAAATTCCACCCCCCAGCACCTCCCATAAGTTGTACCATTTTCCTATTCCCACCTAGAGGGCTTGAGAATGCCTCCATCATATCCTCAACCACCAAGAGTCATAATTCTGGCCCATCTGATAGGGTGAAAATAGCATCTCATGTTGGTTTCTGCATCTCCTCCATTATGAAACGTGCTGGGCATTTTCACAATTATTGGTCATTTGTGTCTCTCCGTGACTGGCCAGTTGGTGTTGTCTTCTCTTCTCCCATGTTGCTTATTTCTCTTTCTTTCTGATTTGTAAGGGCTTTTAATATATGAAAGACCTTAATTCTTTTTCTGGCATACATGTAAATTTTTTTCCAGTTTGCATTTTGTTTTCCAAACTTCTTCTTGGTATTTTCCATGATGTGATCATTTTTTATGTGCAGGTAGTCTCATGTAGCAAGATTTCCTTTTCTGCTTACTGAGTATTGTTTCATGTGTAGAGAGGTCTTTTCACTCCTCAAGAGAATTTTTGTAATTCATTCATTGTTTTCTTTCAGCTCCCCAAGGGATCTCTTTAACACTATGTGGAATTTATTTGGGGGAAAGAATATGGCATAGGGGATCTACCCAAAGCCCCCACCAAAACTGAGTTCTTTCTCCACGGACAGGAGCAAATTTGCATTTTTAAAGGTCACCCTGGTGGCTTTGCAGATAATAAATTGGAGGGAAGAGGCTGAGGGCAGGAAGACTGGTAATATGTAGCAGTACAGATGAATAAATGGGAAAGCCTGGCAGTGCGGGGCAGTGCCCAGAACAGCCGCTATGAGTTGGTGTAGATTTATACTCTATAGGCTGGGAAGCTGAAGAGGAGAAGAAGGCTACATTTGTAGGGTGATGCAGAAAGTTCTATTTGGTACACACTGAGTATTAAGTTCCCATAAGATATTTAGATAAAGCTCAATTGAAAACCAAAATATACAATCTAGGTCCTGGGAGAAAGCTGTTGGCTAAAGATTTTGATTTGGAATCTATATTAGTTTGCTAAAGTCTGTTGTTAACAAAGTGCCACCTTTGAGTGGCTTGAACAACAAAATTTACTGTCTCATAGTTCTGAAGACTCGAAATACGAAATCAAGCTGTCGGCAGAGTCGGGCTCAACTGACCCACCTGCCGTGGCCTCCCAAAGTGCTGGGATTATGGCTATAAGCTGTCATGCCCAGCCTTCATTTTTTATTTCAATGATACACTCATGCATCACAAACCTTGCTGTGAAAATTCTTTGGGTTGCAAGAACCAGATATTAACCCAGGAAAAGTCTCCAGGCATGGAAGACCTCATAACTGAGGTGCCCAATACACCTTCCACAATGATGGGGGTAGTTCCACTCTGTAGGCTGGACAAGCAAATGGAATAAACCCCATAAGATGTCATATATATGTTGGCTTCATAGACTGGGGTGGCACAGTCTACATAACCTCAACTAGGCCTACCCAGGTGGTTGGCCATCCAGCAGACCACAACAGACACTGTATTTTCTGGAGAACAGAACATAAAATGCAGACAGAATAGGGATAGATGGCTGGCCGAGGCAAACAGAAAGTCACTTCATCCCAAAGGAGGGATTGTCAACAATGAGGAATTTAGAGGCAGGAATGTGGGCAGCAAAGTCCTTCTCCTCAACCTGTCCAGAAGCACAGACTCGAGAAATAGAGAGAGACAGGGCTCAGAGGCTAGGAGTCAGGCAAACCGGACCTAAAGCACCCCAGCTTTCCCCCCAACCTAGAAACTCCGGCCAGCTATAAGTCATATCCTTGTATCTGTCCCAGCTCATGTGCATCTTTGGATATGTTGGTCTTTCACTTGCCTGTAAGAGGCTAGTGAGTTAATGGTATATTCTCCATGATCACACGTTGAACAACAACAGCAATCTCAACTGTTGGTGAGCAAAGAACAGGAAACATGACCAATCCCTGGCTGTCCTCTCCAAGAAGCCAGCTTCACTTTCCATCAAAAGGGATCCACAACAGAAACTCCAGTGAAGACACACCTATGGGTCAGTCCTGGTCAGCAGCACAGATATGGGATAGAATGATCAAAGTGGCCAAATAAAAAGGCAGCTTGTGGACAGTGCTGTGGCACCCACCTGTAGTCCCAGCACTTTGGGAGGCTGAGGCAGGTGCATCACTTGAGGCCAGGAGTTCAAGACCAGCCTGGCCAACATGGTAAAATCCCGTCTCTACTAAAAATACAAAACTTAGCTGGGCATGGTGGCACATGCCTATAAACCCAGCTACTCAAGAGGTTGAGGCATAAGAATCACTTGAACCTGGGAGGTGGAGGTTTCAGTGAGCCTAGATCATGCCACTGCACTCCAGCCTGGGTGACAGAGTGAAACTCCATCTCCCAAACAAAAAAAAAAAAAAAAAAAAAGGCAGCTTGTAATGTCATTACTCTGGAAGAATCTTTAAAGCAGAACTGCCCAATACAGTCATGCACAAGGTACTATGCCACTTTCCTGAAGACTCGGTCTTCACACTGAATAAATCAACCACCACTGGGAGCTTGGCCATTTGTAGAATGAGGAAACCCTGTTATGGTCTTAAAGCATGGAAGCATTTTTACATTCCAGAGCCATCTCTCCATGTTTGGAAAAAGAAGATAATTATATGTTCCCCCAAAGATCTTTTGGCATACTGATGTTTTAAAAAATTCTTAAGGAAACAGAGGAACAAGAAGAGGGTGTGATGATCATGGAAATACTCTTTAAAGGAATTCTTGCTACCCATTCTATGGTTCCCGTTTTCTGTCTTCAACTTTTAAATTCAGGGGTACATGTGTAGGATGTGCAGGTTATATAGGTAAACGTGTGCCATGGTGGTTTGCTGCACAGATCATCCCATCACCTAGGTATTAAGCCCAGCATCTATTAGCTTTTCTTCCTGATGCTGTCCCTCCCTCTGCCCCCTTCTTCCCATTTTTGTGTTTTTTGAATAATATGTTGAAGTGTCACACAGTACCTTTGGGAGTCAGAAAAATGATTAATAAATCATTAATTTCCATTTTCTGAATATTTCATCCTTTGGTCCTTTTGCAGTTTTTGAACAGCTCCTATCAGGCAGTGTTTAAAGCAATAGTCAAAGAAATGGCTGATCGCAATGAACTGGAAGAGGATTTTGACATTCCCCTAACTAAGCTACTGGAAAGTGAAAACAGATGGAAACTGGTAGTTATGTAAGTAACTGGCGAGGCTGAGTGGTTTGTCAGTGGATTTGGGTATTCCAGAGGTGGCAGCAGGGAGTATAAATTGAGCAACCAACAAAAAGAGCAAAGTCAGGGCCAAGCAGGTTCCCTCAGTCAAGGAGCAGGCACAGGCCAAGCACAGGGAAAAGGTAAGATGGGCAGAATTATCCAGCTGCCAGACCAAAATCAGAACTCAAGAGCAAGGACCCTGCAAGCATGGGAGCTGCAGGATAGGATCAAGGCAGATGGTGGCAGAGGCTGGAAATCCAGGGCAAGAAAATGTCTTGCAGGGACCATGAACTTGCACAAAAGTCTAGGGAGCAAAGTTCAGACCCCTGGCATTTAAGAAGACATTGGGGAGTCAAGACCTGGGACATCTTCCTATGAAATTCCCCGGCTTCATGCTAGGTGAGCTAATGCTTTTCCATGCATCCTAAAGGAGGGAGAGCCTTGAGCTTCACTGATCTGGGGTCATGGCCAGGGCCCCTGTAAGGTTATTGTAGACCTGTATCGCTGGCACCAGATCTTTCTAGCTGGCAAGGCCCCAGGTCACAAAATGTTCCAGAATGCCATTTGTATACTGTATTAGTCCATTTTCACACTGCTGGTAAGGACCTGAGACTGGGAAATTTACAAAAGAAAAAGATTTAATGGACTTAAAGATCCATGTGACTGAGGAGAACTCACAATCATGGCAGAAAGTGAAAGGCACATCTTACATTGCAGCAGACGAGAGAAGAGAGCTTGTGCAGGGAAACTCCCTCTTATAATAACCATCAGATTTCATGAGACTTACTCACTATTATGAGAAGAGCATGGGAAAGACCTGCCCCTGTGATTCAATCATCTCCTATGGGGTAATTCAACACGTGGGGATGCAAGACGAGATTTGGGTGGGGACACAGCCAAACCATATCATCCTGCCACCGACCCCCCTCAATCTCATGTACTCACATTTCAAAACCAATCATGCCTTCCCAACAGTCCCCCAAAGTCTTAACTCATTTCAGCATTAACCCAAAAGTTCACAGTCCAAAGTGTCATCTGAGACAAGGCAAGTCCCTTCTGCCTATGAACCTGTAAAATCAAAAGCAAGTTAATTATTTCCTAATTACAATGGGGATACAGCCATTGGATAAATACAGCTATTCCAACTGGCAAAAATTGACCAAAATGAAGGGGCTACAGGCCCCATGCAAGTCTAAAATCTAATAGGGCAGTCATTAAGCCTTAAAGTTCCAAAATGATCTCCTTTGACTTCATGTCTCATACCCAGATCACACTAATAAAAGAGGTGGGTTCCCCTGGTCTTGGGCAGCTCTGCCCCTGTGGCTTTGCAGGGTACAGCCTCCATCCCAACTGCTTTCACGGGTTGGCATTGAGTGCCTGAGGCTCTTCCAAATGCACAGTGCAAGCTGTCAGTGGATCTACTGTTCTGGGGTCTGGAGGATGATGGCCCCCTTCTCACAGCTCCACTAGGCGGTGCCCCAGTAGGGACTCTGTGTGGGGGCTCCCACCCCACATTTCCCTTCCACACTGCCTTAGCAGAGATTCTCCATGAGGGCCCTGCCTCTACAGCAAACTTCTGCCTAGGCATCCAGGCATTCCCATACAACCTCTGAAATCTAGGCAGAGGTTCCCAAGCCCCTATTCTTGACTTCTGTGCACTCACATGCTCAACACCATGTGGAAGCGGCCAAGGCCTGGGGTTTTCTCCCACAGAAGCCATGGCCCAAGCTCTATGTTGGCCCCTTTCAGCCATGGCTAGAGCAGCTAGGATGCAAGGCACCAAGTCTTTAGGCTGCACACAGCACAGGGACCCTGGGCCTGGCCCAGGAAACCGTTCATTTTTATTCCTAGGCCTGTGGGCCTGTGATGGGAGGGGTCTCTGTGAAGACGTCTGACATGCCCTGGAGACATTTCCCCCATTGTCTTGGGGATTAACATTTGGCTCCTCATTATGTATGCAAATTTCTGTAGCTGGCTTGAATTTCTCTTCAGAAAATGGAATTTTCCTTTCTATTGCATTGTCAGGCTGCAAATTTTCTGGTTTTTATGCTCTGCTTCCCTTAGAAAACTGAATGCCTTCAACAGCACTCAAGTCATCTCTTGATACTTTGCTGCTTAGAAACTTCTTCCGCCAGCTACCCTAAATCATCTCCCTCAAGTTCAAAGTTTCACAAATCTCTAGGGCATGGGCAAAATGCTGCCAGTCTCTTTGCTAAAACATAACAAGAGTCACCTTTGCTCCAGTTCCCAAAAAGTTCCTCATCTCCACTTGAGGCCACCTCAGCCTGGACTTTTTTGTCCATATTGCTATCAACATTTTGGACAAAGCCATTCAACAAGTCTCTAGGAAGTTCCAAACTTTCCCACATTTTCCTATCTTCTTCTAAGACCTCCAAACTGTTCCAACACCTACCTGTTACCTAGTTCCAAAGTCACTTCCACGTTTTCAGCTGTCTTTAAGCAGTGCACCACTCTACAGGTACCAATTCACTGTATTAGTCCATTTGCACACTGCTGATAAAGACATATCCAAGATTGGGCAATTTACAAGAGAAAGATATTTAATGGACTTACAGTTCCACATGGCTGGGGAGGCCTCAGAATAATGGCAGAAGGTGAAAGGCACATCTCACATGGCGGCAGACAAGAAAAGAGAGCTTATACAGGGAAACTCCCCCTTATAATAACATTCAGATCTCTTGAGACTTTTTCACTATCAAGAGGACAGCATGGGAAAGACTTGCCCACATGATTCAGTTACCTCCCACCAGGTCCTTCTCACCACATATGGGAATTCAAGATAAAATTTGGGTAGGGACACAGCCAAACCATATCATATACCCAGGCTGTGGTGTAGACATGCTCTCAGCATGGAAGCCTGGCCTTTCCTTTATCCATTGTCAGAAACCTGGAGAGCCAGGTATGTCTTTGGGTCACCATGGGTCTGTCACAGAATCTCCAGCAGTGGCACCAGGTACAGGCTGTGGGGAACAAGGTGCCCTACATAATCACGTGGGCAAGTTCAGGTGTTCACAAAAATCAGGAAGAGATTGACTACTAGCAACTTCTACTGTGGACTCAATAGAGGCATGGGGCATAAGACCCTCAGGGCTTCTTAGGAAAGGGGAAGGCAAGACACAAAGAACTCTCAAGCTTTCAGATGAGCAAAAACACCAAACAACACCTCCATGCGTTATTCCACTGCCTCTGTGCCATTTTCCTCCCTCTCTTCCCATTTACACCTGTATCAAAGGCTGATTATAACCTGATTGCATTCAACAGATATTTCCTGTGCATGTACTATGTGCTAATCTAGGCTCTAGGGATACAGTAGTGTGTACCCCAGCCTCTGGTATTGAAGAGCCAGCTGATGGGAATTTCACTCACTTGCAAAGGTGGGCCAAAAACTAAGAAAGGAACAGTCAGTCTTCCCAAAAGGGCCTTGGGTGCCTCGGCTAGATACCGTCACTGGAGTTTAACTCATGTCTGTGTTTGGTTTCCTGCTCTGAGCCTAAAGGAATAGGCCCCCACTCCACCCATTCCTGGGCCCTTATATTTTGACAGGTGCCAGTAGGCTAAGTAACCACTTCAATTCCATTAAAACGCCTTGCATATAAAATGAATAACATTTGGTACAAATGGACCATGGACTCATTCTCAAATTTCTCTATTGCTTCTAGGGTATGAATAAGGGGACCATTGCTCTGTGCTACATAACATAGTGCAGCCCTTTCCAGCAAAGGTTGTTTGTTTCCTGGAGTTACTCTGGGCTAAACCAGTATGCCCTCTTCAAGGAATCTGATCTAAGGAGTTAAAATCTGCAATGGCAAAGGTCTTCTTTTCAGATCCAATTAAGCCTGGGAAGCTCACTCTTTCTGGCACATTCCCCTTCAAAGGGGCTCTGATCTGAGAACTAGAAAACACAGTTGCCCTGGAGAGCACCCTTATTTGGAAGGAAAACAGTCCACTCCATTGAAAGGCCAGGATGACTCGCCCTGTGTGTTGACATGAGAGGGAGAAAAGGGCTTGATCACGTTGAAGAGCTGTGACTTGTGTGGCTTTTATGATAAGTCCTTTTGAGTAAGGCTATTTGAAAATGTCCTATTAAATGCAAAGGGGTTTCAGGTGGTTCTGTCCAGTTCAAAGGCGAGGCTGGTTTTCCAAGCTATTTCCAGGCATAGGCCTCACTGGAATATAGACAAGCCACAGAAAATCAAATCCAGCTGCCTGAGTTCTCATAGGGCCATACTTGCATTTGGACCTCCCTGCCCTGTAAACTGTCCCCAAGATTATCCTTGTTTAATTCATTTCAAAGGGTTTAGGGTTTGGCCACGTGCCCAGGTTGTGGGTCAGTTAGACCACGAGGGAAGCATTGAGTGGATATCAGGAACCAACCCTTTACTCGTGGGCGTTGAATAAAACAGATACCATTGGTCCCATTTCTACCTGCATAAGAAACCCGGCAGGTCCCAGTACCATCTGCATTGTGTGATGGCATGTATGCATGAACTTAGTCTTGGCTTTTAAAGATGATCCACTTTACTTTTAGGTTGAAGAGAAATTATGAAAAGTTCAAGGAAACAATCTTATGGATTAAGAGGAGACGTGAAGGTAGGCACCACTCCACAATTTTCCACCCATTGCCAGCTCTCCTGTCCGTGTCCACCACCTCTCTCCTTCTGCATGTACTGTAGAGAAGACAGAAGGGCTCATTCACTCACTTCAGTGCCTACAGGGCTAATTTGGTCCTGGCTGCCAGGGATGAAATACCGAGCATGACAGACACAGTCCAGGGCCCCAGTGAGTTTCTCTCTTGATGGCAGGGGCAGGTGGGGGATCCAAACACAGAGTGAGTCACCTGGCATTTCGGTGACATGGACTGTGGGAAGAGGACACTGTGGGACCCCATGGTAAGGGATCTAACACAGATTTGGAGGAGTGGGGTACTCCAGGAAAGGAATATTAATGTAAAAATTGGGAAAGAAATAGCTCCTTTACCATGAGACTAAAGGCATTTGTGTCCAGCTGTTAAGATTTGCAAATCATGGAGGTTGCCAGCTTCATGGAGCTAATCATGGAAGAATTCAATGAAGGGACTAAGCTGCCTTCACTTAAAAATTTATAACTACAATATGCAATATCTTTCAGGTGACTGGACCCAACCTGAAAATGACAGCAATATTCATGGGAGACATAGCTAACCAATCACAGTACTTTTTCTTGCTGAGCCTTGTCTTAGCTCAATTCCTTCTCAAGAAAGTACTCTTACCCCCAGTACCAATTCATGCCTCTGACCTAACTCTTAAGGAATAGCTGTTGCAGGCCCTGCCTGCGTCTCCTGAACCCTGTGTCACCATTAACCCATCCCCACTCCAGCCTCCAACCACACAGCACTTATGCTGGGACTCCTCCATCACATGCTAGAGACTTATCTTCCACTGGAAGTCTCAGCATCAAAGCCTGGTTAAGTTCCCTCGCATGAGCTCTCACGGCAGGCTGTGTTGGTCTCAATGATGGCACACACACCACTCTCCTAACTGACCTCCCCCTTAGGTAGTGAGCTGGGGCTCCTCACTCCCACCAAGAGCGTGTTGGCTGATACCACATCTGGAAGCCCCTCACCATGGCTCCAGCCACTCGGCTCCCGCTGTTGTGTTAAACACTTATCAAAAGGCACTAGGCTTGTTTTTCCAGTTGTCCTTACTAGTTCCAAAATTCAATTGTTGTAAAAATGGACAAAATGAATATAAAAAGAAACTTTTGCTATGAAACAAAAATGAAGTTGCAAGCTTTAACACACACACCTACACACACACACACACACACACACACTCTTAGCCAGGTGTGGTGGCTCATGCCCATAATCCCAACACTTTGGGAAGCTAAGATAGGATAATCCTTTGAGGCCAGGAGTTCAAGACTAGCCTGGCCAACATGGCAAAACCTCATCTCTACATTAGCCAGGTGTGGTGGCACATGCATGTAACCCCAGCTGAGGAACAAGAATTACTTGAACCCAGAAGACAGAGGTTGCAGTGAGCCAAGATCATGCCACTGCAATTCAGCCTGAGTGACAGAGCAAGATTCTGTCTCAGTCAGTCAATCAATTACTGGTGTGATTTGAGCACAAATGATCACAGAGCCCAGTCATCAGATCTTCATCTTGTCTTACCTTTGAAATGACATGTTAATAGACACTTCTGTTTCAAGTTACAATAACATGTTTATAGGGTGTTTCCTTTTTTTGATGACTCCCTGACTTTAGCCTGTCTTTTCAATTAACAGCCACACCATTCAGTGGGTAAGTGCTCCTCTCATTATGTTGTAGTTGGCATAGCACTATGTCACCCATGCATGCCCCCTCATCTGCACAGGTTGACCTTCACTGTCATATCAGGCATCTAGCACTGGGCTGGTACACACTAGGCACTTGATAAGTACATGTTGAGTGAATGTGTAACCAAATGGAACGAGCTGGAATGTCAGCTCCCACATACCTCTCTTCAAAGGCCTTAATCTTTCCACTACCCGACAGCCTTCCTACTGGGGAAAAATGGCAGATCTCCCAAACCCTCAAACTCCCTCTGGCATCTTGAGAGAGACAGATCTAAGTTTCCTTTCTCTTTTCCACCAAAATCTTACTCAATGCAATCATTGGATTGAATAGCAGCTCTAAAGTCAGGAGAGATGACCACTTTCACATTTACTTTATCGACCCAACCAACATTTGAGAAGCCTAAGACAGAAAAAATCCAAAAGCCTCACCGTGTTGTTCGTCGTAGGAAGAAATTAGAACGAGATAAGGAATGGATACAGAAGAAGACAGTGGTAAGAGGGGCAGTGCCTTGGTGTTTTTACTTTGCACAGGACTTTTTTTGGCTCCAGTGAGATGTGCACATACCATCAGAGAGCGGTAAGGAATAATATACAATGTGAATGCAAAAATGCATCCAAGATATGAGAGGTACACCTGAGTGTGTGGGTTGTTGGCAGACTGATGAGGATTTTACTAGGATTTATTGAGATTCTTCTGCCTGCATGTCTGTATTAGGCAACTGGATGGGTTTGAGAGTGGAATAAAGGAAATGTATATTACATAGGCCCCAGACAGACACTGTGGCATGTATCTGTAGTCCCAGCTGCTTAGGAGACTGAGATGGAGGTATCACTTGAGCCCAGGAGTTTGAGGCTACAGTGTGTTATGATCACGCCTATAAATTGTCACTGTACTCTAGCCCAGGCAACATAGCAAGACCTTGCATCTAAAAATAAAAAGACATATAGAGATCCATCCCCCTAACAAATTAGAATCCATATCAAAAATCAGTCACACAGTGAATGGATAAATAAGCTGTGGTACATTCACACAATTAAATATTATTCAGTACTAAAAAGAAATGAGCTATTAAGCCATGAAAAGACATGGAGGAAACTTAAACACATATTACCAAGTGAAAGAAACCAATCTGAAAAGGTTACATATTACAATAGCTACTGTATGACATTCTGGAAAACACAAAGCTATGGAGACAGTAAAAAGGTAAGTGGTTGCTAGGGGATGGGGGCAAGAAAGGATGAAAAGGTGAAACATGGGATTTTTAGGGCAATTAAACTCTTCCGTATGATTCCACAATGGTGGATACATGTCATTGTACATTTGTCCAAATCCACAGAATATGCAACATCAAGAGAGAACCCTAATATAAACTCTGGGCTGTGGGTGATAATGGTGTGTCAGTGTAGGTTCCTCAATTATAACAAATGTACCACTCTGGGGTGGGGGGCGTTGATGGTTAGGAGGCTATGCATATTGGAAAGTAGAAGCTACAATATTGCATGTCGGAAAGTGGAAACTACTATATTGCATAGTGGAAACTACTTTCCACTCAATTTTTCCATTACCTGCTCTAAAACAAATGAAGCCTATAAGAAAATCAATCACTTGGAGTATTTATAAAGACTGATACTATTATACAAAGATCTGAATGAAAACTAGTCTCAAAATATTAAAGTCATTTATTCCATCCAAATGAACTCCAAAAGCAAGCGGGAGTAGCAATCCTTATATCAGACAAAACAAACTTTAAAGCAGTAGCAGTTAAAAAGGCAAAGAAGGACATAATATAATAATAAAAGGCCTTGTCCAACAGGAAAATATTACAATCCTAAATATATATGCACCTAACAGTGGAGCTCCCAAATTTATAAAACAATTACTGCCAGACCGAAGAAATGAGATACAGTGGGGGACTTCAATATTTCACTGACAGCACTAGACAGGTCATCAAGACAAAAAGTCAATAAAAAACAATGGGTTTAAACTACACCTTGGAACAAATGGACTTAACAGATATTTACAGAACCTTCTACCCAACAATTACAGAATATACTTTCTATTCATCAGCACATAGAACTTTCTCCAAGATAGACCATATGATAGGCCACAAAACAAGTCTCAATAAATTTAAGAAAATCAGAATTATATCAAGCACTCTCTCAGACCACAGTGGAATAAAACTGGAAATCAACTCCAAAAGGAATACTCAAAGTCATGCAAATACATGGAAATTAAATAACCTGCTCCTGAATGATCATTGGGTCAACAATGAAATCAAGATGGAAATTTAAAAAATTTTCAAACTGAATGACAATAGTGACACAATCTATCAAAACCTCTGGGATACAGCAAAAGTGGCTAAGAGGAAAGTTTGTAGCCCTAAATGCCTACATCACAAAGGCTGAAAGAACACAAATAGACAACCTAAGGTCACACCTCAAGAAACTAGAGAAGAGAAACAAGAACAAACCAAACTCAAACCAAGTAGAAGAAAGGAAATACCCAAGATCGGAGCAGAACTAAATGAAATTGAAACAAAAATACAAATGATAAATGAACAAAAAGTTGGTTCTTTGAAAAGATAAATTAAATTAATAGACCATATGCAAGGTTAACCAAGGAAAGAAGAGAGAAAATCCAAATAAATTCAGTTAGAAACAAAACAGGAAATATTACCACTGACACCACAGAAATACAGAAGATCATTCACGGCTACTATGAACACCTTTATGTGCATAAACTAGAAAACCTGAGGATACAGACAAATTCCTGGAATATACAACCCTCCTAGCTTAAATCAAGAAGAATTAAGATACCCTGAACCTACCAACAACATGCAGCAATATTGAAATGGTAATCATAAAAATTACCAACAAAAGAAAATCCAGGACCAGACAGAGTCACAGCTGAATTCTACCAGACATTTGAAGAAAAATTGGTACCAATCCTATTGACACTATTCCACAGACAGAGAAAGAAGGAATCCTCGTGAAATCATTCTGTGAAGCCAATATCACCCTACTACCAAAACCAGGCAAGTACATTCCAAAAGAGAAAACCACAGACCAATGTCCCTGGTGAATATAGATGTAAAAATCCTTAACGAAATACTAACTAACCAAATCCAACAACATATCAAAAAGATAATCCACCATGATCAAGTGGGTTTCATGCCAGAGATTTTAATTTGTTTATGTGATACATCATCTCAATAGACACAGAAAAATCACACGATCATCTCAGTAGACAAAAATGACATGATCATCTCAATAGACACAGAAAAAGCACTCAACAAAATCCAGAATCCCTTTATAATTAAAACTCTCAGCAAAATCAGCATATGAGGGACATACCTCAATGTAATAAAAGCCATCTATGACAAACCCACAGCCAACATAATACTCAATGGGAAAAAGTTGAAAGTATTCTCTGAGAACTGGAAGAAGACAAGGATGCTCACTCTTACTACTCCTCTTCAACATAGTACTAGAAGTCCTAGCCAAAGCAATCAGACAAGAGAAGAAATAACGGGCATCCAAATTGGTAAAGAGGAAGTCAAACTGTCACTGTTTGCTGATGATATGATTTCATGCCTAGAAAACCCTAAAGACTCCTCCAGAAAGCCTCTAGAACTGATAAAAATAATTCAGCAAAGTTTCCAGATACAAAATTAATGTACACAAATTAGTAGCTCTCTTATACACCAACGGCAACCAAGCTGAGAATCAAATCAAGATCTCAACTCCTTTTACAATAGCTACAAAATAATAATAATAATAATAATAATAATAAAACACTTAGGAATATACCTAACCAAGGAGGTGAAAGATCTCTGTAAGGAAAACTACAAAACACTGCTGAAAGAAATCATAAACAACACAAACAAGTGGAAACACATCCCATGTTCATGGATGGTTAGAATCAATATAATCAATATTGTGAAAATGACCACACTGCCAAAAGCAATCTACAAATTCAATGCAATTCCCATCAAAATACCACCATCATTCTTCACAGAACTGAAAAAAAAAAAAATCCTAAAATTTATATGGAATCAAAAAAAAGAGCCGACATAGCCAAAGCAAGACTAAGCAAAAAGAACAAATCTGGAGGCATCACATTACCTGATTTCAAACTACACTATAAGCCCATAATTACCAAAACATCATGGTACTGGTATAAAAATAGGCACATAGACCAATGGAACAGAATAGAGAACCCAGAAATAAACCCAAATACTTATAGCTGACTGACCTTTGACAAAGCAAACAAAAACATAAAGTGGAGAAAGAACATCCTATTCAACAAATGGTGCTGGGATAATTGGCAAGCCACACTTAGGAGAATGAAAATCTCTTACCTTATACAAAGATAAACTCGAGATAATTCAAGGACTTAAATCTAAGACCTGAAACTATAAAAATTCTAGAAGATAACCTAGGAAAAACCCTTCTAGGCATTGGCTTATGCAAGGATTTTATGACCAAAAACCCAAAAGCAAATGCAATAAAAACAGAGATGCATAGTTGGGACTTAATTAAACTAAAGAGCTTTTGCATGGGAAAAGGAACAGTCAGCAGAGTAAACAGACAACCCACAGAGTGGGAGAAAATCTTCACAATCTATACATCTGACAAAGGACTAATATCCAGAATCTACAACAAACTCAAGCAAATTATCAAAAAAAAAAAAACAATCCCATCAAAAACTGTGCTAAGGAAATGAATAGACAATTCTCAAAAGAAATGTAAATGACCAACAAACGTGAAAAAATGCTCAACATCGCTAATGATCAAGGGAATGCAAATCAAAACCACAATGACATACCACCTTACTCCTGCAAGAATAGCCACAATAAAAAAATAATAGATTTTGGCATGGATGCAGTGAACAGGGAACACTTCTACACTGCTGGCGGGAATGTAAACTAGTAAAACCACTATGGAAAACAGTGTGGAAATTTCTTAAAGAATTAAAAGTAGAACTACCATTTGATCCAGCAGCCTCAATACCATGTAGCTACCCAGAGAAAAAGAAGTCATTATACAAAAAAGATACTTGCACACACATATTTATAGCAACACAATTCACAATTGCAAAAATAGCAATCCCTCATTTAAATTAAGGTGGGAATTTAAAAGATGTGATAGACTTCATGTCTTCAGTAAATATAAATTTTAGATCTATAAGCTCCATATAAATTTTAGGACTTTTTTTTTTTTTTTTAAGTTCTGTGAAGAATGATGGTGGTATTTTGATGGGAATTGCATTGAATTTGTACATTGCTTTTGGCAGTGTGGTCATTTTCACAATATTGATTATATTGATTCTAACCATCCATGAACATGGGATGTGTTTCCACTTGTTTGTGTTGTCTATGATTTCTTTCAGCAGTGTTTTGTAGTTTTCCTTATAGAGATCTTTCACCTCCTTGGTTAGGTATATTCCTAAGTGTTTTTATTATTATTATTATTATTATTTTGCAGCTATT